TTTGAAGGCCCTTCTTAGTGAGTGTTTAGGATTGCTTTTCAAAACAGTTTATTGACTTATTGACTATTTAAAAGCTAATAAGTCAAAAAATATGTTTGACAAACTCAAAAACACTTTTCAAAAAATTGTTTTTCTGTTAGCTTTAAAAAATACTTTTTAAAAAACATGTAAAACTTGTTTTATTGAAACTATTTTTGGATTTTTTAACCAAAATAACTTCAAACAAAAATAATTTTTTAAACAAAACATTTTTTAACTTATTAACTTTTCACCATAAAAGTTAATTCAAACACTTTTTTTAAAAAACTCATTTTACCATCACTATAAGCCAATAAACACTTTTATCTAAAAACACTTTTAGAGTTCAAAAAACACTCTCAAACACCCCTTAAAAAGATTAATCAGCATTCTTTTTAGAAATGGACTTGAGTAATACATATTGTTTTTCTCATATACAACAATCTCTTTGTTAGAATATTGTATTATACAATTGAATCTTCCTATCTAATAAATAAATAGTTTTATTCTCCTCTTGACATGTGTTATCTTATTAAGTCTCCTAATTAATACATATTTTATTCTTCTTTTGTCATGTGTCATCATATTGAATCTCCTAATTAATACATGATATTTGTAAACCTATTGATTCTCCATTTCAAATTTCAAAATTTAAATATATCACTCTAATTATATTAAATTAATAACATTAGAATAAAAATTAAAATAAACTTAATACAAATTATAAAGTAATATAATTTCACATATTTATTTAAATCAATGATTAAAATTTATATAACTAAAAAATCTCTTAATTAATAATTTATTTAAGATAATTGATTAATAATTTTTAGTTTTTATTTTAAAAGTTTAATTAGTTGTATAACCGTGGTTCCCACGAGTTATAAACTAGTTGATTAATACACATCTGAGTGACATATATCCACGACAATTCTAGAGCAAGTGACGTAGTTATTAGCATTTATGTATATGTATGTAAATGCGGATATAGAACCTTTGTATTGGAATATCACATAACCAGATTAATTTAATGAGATTTTCTAATATGTGCAGCACATAGTATTAATTATGAAAAATATTATCATAGTTAAATGTGAAATGCATTAATTATGAAGATTATTAATGAATTTCATATTTAATTATGATAATATTTCTTATAATTAATGTATTTAACATTTAATTATGATAATAATTGTGATTATTAGAAAAATCCCTAATTTAATTTCAGCCCACAAGTCTGTTATGTTTTCTCTGTTGTTTCCTTTGTGTGAGGACCGTTTTAATCAAAAGACCTTTATTGGCCCAAATATAGAAAAAGGCTAATTTTCAGCCCACAACTGTGGCTCAATAGTTTTTTTCCTCGTTTATTTAGTTATTGTCCTTATTTATTTATGTGTAGACAGTGTAGATATTTGTGTCTAACGATCTTTTTTTTTTTCTTGTATTATCAAAATTAAAATTATTAAAATTTTTGAGATACCAAGAACGTGGTTTCATTACATTAGAGTCAAGTGCATAAAAATCAAACCCTCACCAAAAAATTGACGCATGAAAACGACTTCTTCAAATCTGCTCATCTACCTATCTCATATCACATTATTAAAAAAATGATTATTTAATAATCTTAACTTTCTAATAATACATAATTAGTTTGGATTAGAATTAAAAACCTCAATAATATTACAATGACGTCAATTCTTTACTATGTGATTGTTGAAACGTTTTAAAAAAATTATATATATATATATATATATATATATATATATATATATATATATATATATATATATATATATATATATAATCTTTCATAAAAAAGAATAATAATTTTTATAGTTGTCGAATGAAAAGACTTTTAACCAAAGATTGCCTCATGAACGTGACCTTCTTTAATTTACACCCGCATTTAATACAATCTAATAGTTTATATATTTTTAAATAAATAATACCACTAGAATCCCCTCTTTTCGTGGTGCTCCCAACGTGCATTTCCACCATGCAACCATACATGACCACGCCAAAAGAAAATTTAAATACATGGTAAATACTAAATACTATTTAAAAATATATTTAATTATCAATATATATTATAAATATATTTTAATACCTAAAGAATACCACATATATAATCAACGTATATGTCAGTTGTCAAGTATTCAACATTGTATCTTAAAAATAAAGCCGTTGACATGTTAAACCTAAGCTTCCACATTTTAATATTATTAAACATTCATATAAGTTTGAAAATTGACACTTAAAATCCCATTATTTAATTCCCCTTGCAATTTGATCCCCTCTTTACGTTGCAGTTGACTTCAAATATGAAAACAATATTTGAAAATTTAACCCCACCAAGTACCCATTTCACCGGTTTACACCCACAAATTTGGCTGGCCAAGACCTACATTTCATTCTCCTCTTTCTTGATTCCCTCTATTCAATACCATTTTCTCATAACACCAAAACAAGAAGATGAACAGCACGGATCTCAACTCCGGTGGGTTTCTCGGGTCACAAAACATCAGTGGATTCGGATACGGGATCGGGATATCAGTAGGGATGCTTTTACTCATCACAACAATCACATTAGCATCTTACTTTTGTAACCGAACCACACAAACCTCACCATCACCATCAGTAGCTCAAATCCGGGCTCAGAGAAACAGTCTGGGTGCAGCCTTGGGTCAGCCTGACTCGACCCATTGCGTGGTTGATGTGGGCCTTGATGATGAAACACTTTTGAGTTACCCCACTATGCTTTACAAAGATGCAAAGATCAAGAAAAGGGATTCAGGATTTTCAACATGTTGTTCTATTTGTTTGGGTGATTATAAGGGGAGTGATGTTCTTAGACAACTTCCGGATTGTGGTCACCTTTTTCATGTTAAATGTGTTGATCCGTGGTTACGGTTGAACCCCACATGCCCGAATTGTCGAACGTCTCCTTTACCGACCCCACTTTCAACCCCTTTGGCAGAGGTGGTGCCACTTGCAAGAAGACGGGATTGATTGATTGATTGATGATTTTTTGAGTTAGTTCAAATGAACTGTCCTATGATTATGTTTGTAAGTTTACATTTTGTTTATTTTTGATATATATACTGTAGATCTTGAAATGCATAAATTTGTTGTATATATAACTCTCATTTTCATTTTCTCAATTGATAATTTGATATAATTAACCTTTTGTCCGGTAAGTATGACGGATTTTACCCAAACTTTATGTTTAATGGGACTTTTACTTTTATTTAAATAACATCTTTTTCATAATATTTCGCGTGTATTTTGTGTTCATACTTGTCAAATATACTGTGTGAAAGGGCTATGGGTCGATCAATTGATCCACAATCCACTTATACAATTATACATATTACATAATTGATAATACAAGCTTAAAACCTTATGAGGACTATAGGAGGCGTAGGCCCAATAGAATAAAATTAAGTATACCTGGTCCATGGCATAGCAAATTAATATCATTGTTTGTATGCAAGTGTTAGTGTATGCTAAGGGTTCAGAAACCAGATTTTTTCCCGATCCATATTAGTTTTAGTTAACTTTTAACAAAGTTAAAATCGACTAAGTCCAAACTAATTTCTAAGCAAAAATATCTGAAGGATCGGGTTAAACACTATTTGAAAAAAAAAAAAAAACAAACAAACCCTTATGTTTTTGTCACTTTTTCATATTTTTATTAATTTGATTTCATGGTTGATCAAAAACAAACCAACAAAAAAACATATCCCTTTACCATGATGTAACATGTTTTTTGGATATTCAGGATCCTTTAGGATTCAAAACGACATTATAAACTTTTATTTTTGAAAAGTGTTTATTGGGCATATAGGATTGTACAATTGGTGAAAACCAAAATCTTGTATTAACAAGTTGAAGAAAAAATGAATAGAAACTATTTTTTTTACTATTTAAAAATCGGTTTTTATATTTGAAAACTGGTTTCTATCCAGTTTTTCAAACTTATTTCACCAAAACCGATTCCACTGTAGAATCATCAAAGTGGTATAAACTGTCAATTCGGCTCCAAAACAGATCATTTTCAATCAAAACACTTTCTAAATCGAATCAGATCAGATCTTAGGGGATGTTTAAAAATTGTTGATTGAGTCAAAATCTGGTTAAGTCATACACAACCACTTATTAGACATACTAAGAGGTATATCAAAGGCTATGAGACCAAATACGAGACTTCTACTTGTTGTATCAAACGATTATAATCTAACTGAATCATGCCCAACTTCTTACCAAACCCAGTAAGAAACATATTAAAGACTATAGGACCGAATATATGAGACTTCTATTGTTGTAAAAAGTCTTAACTCCTAAAGACTCAAGCTCTTACCATACCTAGTAAAAGGCATATCAAGCAGGCTTCCAATTTCGAACCATTTCTTTGTGCATCTCAATATGGAGATGTGCATATTCGGACAAATAACCTTATTTTTTATCGAGCATAATTAATGGTAGGATTGATGTAGAAAGAACCGTCTCGGCCTATGAAGGCCCACCTGCTTTTTTTTACTAAACTTATATATATATATATATATATATATATATATATATATATATATATATATATATATCATTAGGTTAAATTGAGAACACTTTTTTATGTGAGAACATGAGGAGTAATTTTAACCATTATATTTGGTGTATTTACGGGTCAAGATTAAGTATTCCTAATTTATATGTGTTCAAACGCGTTTTGTTAATACTGGTAATATTTAGTGTTTTGTTAATACTGGTAATATTCAACAGTGATATGTATGTATTTAATGAGGTTTGTGTAACATACGATATTCTTAAATAAGGTAATAGTGTGAAATTGCAAACGATTCCCGATAAACCCTCTGAAAAAAATCTAACCAAATCGTTTCCATTTAGGTGAAACGATTTTGATAGAATCTTCAAAAAAAATTCCAAGATATTATGTGAATCGTATTATGTTATAAAATTGAAGTGAAATGAGGTGGACGAGAGCACAGATCTTGAGAAGGAGTCCAAGAATGATGGAAGCAGGATTTCAGTCAAAGTTTACTAATACGGCTAACAATGCTATCGATCTTGAAGAAGAAGAAGTTTTGTACATTGAATTAGGTAACATAAAGATTAATTTTTTTTGTTTTTTGATCTACGATAAGAAATAGGGTTTTGTTTTAGGGTTTTCTGAGGATTTATGATGTTTTGGTTGTTTGTCGGTAAAATCGAAGATTTTTTTGTGTAACAAGTAGTTGGTAGTGAGTGTGTTTTGATCGTAGGTTTGGGTTTCTTGAAAAAAAATGTGGCTGTGAATGTGATATGAGCTATAATTCTCTTTTGAATGAATACATATTTAAATGTGATTGTAGATTATCTGATAGAGTTGTTTGATTAAGCTTTGAACTTTATTCTGTTTTGAATGAATGCGTATTTAAATGGTATTCGTAAACTGTAAATTGGTTCAATTTTAGAAATTATGTTCCATGATTAAGATTGAAATGTGTATTCCTTTTAGGCTCATACTTATGTATTGAAAAATAACAATAGAAAAAATATAGATGTGTTTATGAAATTGTTATGTAGAAGGTGATATCCTTTTGTTGAGTTTGGTAATACTAAATTTGCGGATTTATGTGGATGCTTTAATGAATGTTTTTTCTTGTTTTGAATATGAGTAATGATGCATAAAAAATTCAACATCTAATTAGTGTAGGAGTGAATGGTGTTAGTTCTAAGGCCATAGTTTGATGTTGTAAATAAATACGTTTAGCAATGTCTATGTGTGTATGAATGGGTGCATGAGTAGTGTTGTTATTTATGGTAAGTAAATGAAAGTACATTCAATAGTGAATATGTAAGGAAATGAATGAGTAATATGTATTGAATGTGAACATTTTTTATGTGGTAAATAAAGGAATGTGTAGTCAATAATGAATATGAATGAGTATACAATATTGAATGTGTGTGGAAATGAATGAATATTCTGTAATGAATGTGAATGAAGTTTTGTGGGATAAGTTTTATGCCTACAGTTTGTTATTGATTAAGTTATGTGCATGAGTAATTGGTAATGAATGTGCAAGTGAATGGGTAATCTGGAAGTGAATGTGTATTGTTTTAGGAAGTGAATGTGTAGTCTTTTATGAGTACATGATATGAGGGATTAGTTTTTTTGCACTGAATATGTATTCATTTGTGAATATGTGAGAAAATGAATTGTAGTCATTAATCTCTTGTGAATTTGTATTAATTTGTTAATATGTGAGAGAATGATTTTTTTTAGTACAATAGTTCATGAATATGTGAGAAAATGAATTGTAGTGATTAATCTGTTGTGAATTTGTATTAATTTGTTAATATGTGAGAGCATGATTTTTTTTAGTACATTAGGTCATGGATAAATTTTGTACATAAATTTGTAAAATGTAAGAATGATAATTTTTTACTAAAATGTACAGAGTCATCAAGCATCCATGTAGTTGATGGAAAGAAATCTATGAGTAGTGTAGGGAAGAAAGGGGTACCTGGTGGGGAACAAAAACTAGAATTACCCAAAAAGACAAGCAATGAAAAATCATATAAGAATGACTCAAGTGATGATGAATTTGTTGATAAGAAAATTAATGTGGATTCTGGAAAAAATGAAAAGAAAAGGAAAAGGAAAAGGGTTGACAAAAGTGTTAATGATAAAAAGGTTAAGGTGAAAGGGAAAAAAGTAATTAGAGCTTAAGGAAAATGTAAAGAAGAGAAGGTAGGAACTGAATTTCGAAGGTTGAGTACTCGTATGTCTCCAAATTCTTTGTATCTAGCCATGAAAAGTTTGTTAAAAAGCCAAAGAGAAATGGTATGCGATATGGGTTTTGGATCTTTTCTGGGAATGAAGATTTATACACTACCTGGAAAGCTAGCATATTTTGTTGTAGATAGCTTCACAACAAGTTCTTGTTCCATAAGGGTTAAAAGTGGTGAAGTGGCCATAACAAACGAGACAGTGGAAGCTATGTTTGGACTTCCGAATAAGGGTTTGGATTTTAACACATTGGATGAATGTGATAAGAATGATCCTTTGCTTGAAGCTTGGAAAGGACAATATGGGAAGGGAAATTATTATAATGGGAATTATTTGAAAAATATAAGGAAAACAAATGTTGCGGATAAGTTGTTTAAGCTGGATTTCTTGACGTTATTCATTAACACTTTTGCTGAAACAGAGACAATGGGGTCTTGTAGAATTAATTTTATTGAAAAGTTAATTCAATGCAAAGATGTGTCAATGATTAACTAGTGTGAGTACATAGTGGACTGTTTAGGAAAAAGCAAGAATAAATGGAGGCCAAATGACAAAAATTGCTACTTCACAGGACCTGTAGTGTTTCTAATGGTATGATATTGAATGTTGATTTAATATTTTATTTTTTTTATCATTAAAAATAAATTGTAATGAAAAAATTATTGAATATAATTGTGCAGATGGCGTATGCAGACAGAGTGATATGTGAAGATGTAAATTTGCATAGGCATAGGCCCTTCATCACAGAAATTGATTCAAAGCACCTAAGAGTGTTAGAAGAATATGAAGTAAGCAGGGGTGTATTTGGAAATCCAAGTTTAATGGAAAATGTGGATGGTGTGTTTTATGATGCAAAGATTAATCAAGATCATTTAAAAGATAGATCAGCTGAGGTAGAATGATTTTATAATAAATACAATAGGAATAGTAATTATTTTATTTTGTTGTTTGTTAATTGTATAGCATTTAAAAATATTAGTTTGTTAAAGTAATTGTTCATTGATTTTTATTGTAGGAGAGTTATGGGATTATTGAGAGTATGGTAGGAAGGTTGGTTGAGAAGAAAAAGGTTGTAGAGGCAAGTAGTTTAATGTGTATGGAAATGCATCTGAATAATGATAAAATGAAGGCAGTGATTAAGAAGGTTGTTGACATCTTTAATGGGACAACACTAAAAGCCTTAATTGTTGATGGGCATGAAGATAGAATAGAGGTTGATGGTACGAGTGTGAATGCAACAGAAGGAGGAAAATCAGTTGAGGATATGAACCAAATGATTACTAATTTGATAAATAAGATGGGGAGGATTTACTTAGTGGATGAAAAGTTTATTCTGAATCGAATGTGGATGCTTCAGATCAGGGAATGGAAGGAATGTCCCCGACAATTGTCAAGCCAACTGGTATGTGCAATGATAAGGTTCTGTTTCAGCATCATGGTGGTTCACATCAATAGAATATAGGAATGGAAGTTGTAATGTACAATGGGAATTCTACTTTTGATTCTTCTGTTATATTAACACCTGGTTGGATAAAGCAACCTGATGAAATAGAAAGGAACAACTCTAAAAAGAGTAGTATGTTTAATAATGATTGTCCGTCGTTTGAAGCTAGACTTAATGAATGTGCAGATGAGATGAATACTTCGAAAGGGAATGAAGGTAAAGATGATGCAATTGTTGAACAAGAACGTCCTAAAAGGACAAAGAGAAAGGTTGAAGCTGTAGTAGGGATTAAAATGAGAGAAAAAGGAGAAATGAATCATGGACCTACATTGAAGTCACCTTTTGTACAAAGAGTTGTGGACTTGAAAGATTCAGTTGAGCAAAAAGAAATACTGATTGCACAAACTATTATTGGATTAGGAAAGGATAAATGTTGTAGTTGCATACTTTTTTATTTGTTTTTTTATGATTAATGTTGTGTAAAAAATCTGATGTATACAACCATGACAAATGCAGGGAGCTCGTATGGGAATAAAAAAAAAAGGTTTGGAATGCATCTAGAATATGCCAGAACTATTGCAGCAAAAGTGAATAATCATTCAAATGTAATAGACTGTTGGAGTGTTCTACTAAGCAAATTGGAAGAGAGTAAGGTAGAGTCGTCTATTCTAGACTTTTTTTTACAACAGGCACACTGGTATGGTTTATTTAAAAAAAATAATAATAATAGTTTTTAAAAAATTTAATGTTACTTATTGTGTTGTTTAATTGTAATGTCGAGCATGAATCAATGTATGACGAGAGGGTAAATGAAGATGTAAGATACAAGGAGTTTGAAGTTATGGTTTCCTCATTAATTGAAGATCTTACAACTAATTCTGAGCTAAAAAATGTGGATTTGGTAATAAAAATATGATGATTAAAATGTTAAATATTACATTTGTTTGTTTTTTTTATTATGTGTTATATGTTGATTAAAATGTTATACGTTTTCTTTCCCATTGTTGATGGGAATTACTACCTCATATGTTTTAACCTTAAAAGTTTTTCAATTTTGATAATTGATCAAAGGAGATTGGTGGGAACATTTGAGTCGGTCTATAGGAACATACCCCGTGTGCTGGTAAGTATGAAAATAAGATCATTAATCTTAATATATGTTTATGTGATTATGTAAATGGTTAATACAGTTTTTGTTACATAATTAATGATTGACTGTAATTTTTTTAACAGCAAAATTTTTTTTTGTCGTTTTCTAAATGATGTCTGTAAAAAGAAGGTGAAGACCCTGATAACAAGGAATGTGGTGGTGTTGAAAATGAAGTGTCAAGCATACAACCGTTCAGATGATGGTAGAATCTACCTTATGTGACATATGGAGAGTTTATGGGGGATCAAACATCAAATTGGGATTGTGGGCTAGCTGTGGATTTAAAAACACAAGATACTTTGAAGTGTGATTTTGAAAAGGAGTATGCAAAGTTTATTAGGATGGATAAGACGACAAGGAAGAGAATAGTTCAAGAGAATCTAAAAGTAGTCTTTGATGAAGCAATTGGTTAAAAGTTGATGGGAAAGGTGTTTGTTTTTTTGGGTCTAGTTTGTTGATTAGTATTTTTTTACAAACAACTTTCTTTGGTGGGATGGTAGGTTTTTGTTTAGGGTTAATGTAGTATGGATATGTTTTTTTTATGTGTCTAAAGTTATTATGTTGGTTGTGGTTTGAACATTTATTACTACTAGTTATGTATGGTATATTGTGTTGACTATGTGTTGAGTGTTTGATCAAGGTGTCTAAAGTGATTTATTTTAAGGTAATAGTTAATTCAATTTTCAGCAATTAATTTTTTTAGAGTTTTTACTTTAATGGACATGTCGTGGAATGTGATATGAATGTTGTATAATCCAAAATTGTAAATTCAAAAAGTAGGCTCTTTTCGAGGGGTTTTGAAAAATACGTCATATTTTTATGTATGCAACACAACATTTGTTTTGAAAAACTTAATACCTTTTTAAGTTAGAGAAACGACTCATCATATATTGAGTGTTCTGTAATAGTATGAATACTAATATCATTCAATGATGAATAAATTTGTACATAAAAATTTACTATAAAATAAGATAAAAACAACATTTATAGAGAAATGCAAAACAATATAAAAGACAATCAAAATTCTTATTAGCATTCAAACATGTCTTTAATTTGAATATGACAAATCTAAAACAAGCGGGTGTAAAGAAAAAAAAATAAGTTTAGAACATGCATGCACAATTAAAAAAATAAAAACAAATGCTAAATATAATTAATTCTTCTTTCCGGGACGTTCTTTGAAAATGTCGTTCTTCTCATCTTCTTTCCTTACAGGACAATTTCGCCAATCATGATCGTTGCCATTGCGACAATAACTGCATCTGGAACCCTTTGATTTTTTTATTGCAATCTCTCTTGAACTTTTCATTCTTTTTTTGTACCACTTCCTTTGTTCCGGATTTCTCTTGGATTGTGAATATCAACACTAGTGGGAATGGTAACACCAAGTGTTTTTTCGAACTCTTTATTCTTGTTTCCTTTATCATGAGTTGTGAAATTGGATAGGAACTTTGCTTCAAGCCGATTTATTTCGTCCAAGTATTCTTTCAATTTGGTGTGATTATTGCTGAGAGAAGATACACAGTTGTCAACAGTAGAAAATACATAAAGTGTAACACTTTGGGTATTCTCGTCAGAATCAGCATAACGAAAACACTTTTCAATAGTTCTGTGGGGATAATGTCCTTCTTCCAGCGTCTGAGTAAATATTTTGAATGAATCTCTTTGATGTTATATGTCTTCATTATGGTAAAAATGTGGCGACACAAAAAACCAAATTGCTCAAACTTCATACAAGGACATGTAAATGTTTGTGCAGACTTATTGTGTGTAACCTGTATTGAATAAAGTGAATAAAAATTAGTCAAAAAATATATTAAAATTAAAAGGGTAAGAGTATAAGTTTCAAGAGCAATTACCTTGTAAGTAGACTCACGTATAGGTATATCCCATTGATCATCATTTTCAACTTCTGGATCAAGCTGAGAAGCATTTGTATTAGAAGGAATGTACTGAATAAATTCCATGACAAGACAATCATCAACATCATCAAATGTGCTGATTGAAATTTGTGTACATGAAACCATAGACAAATACATTTCATTATGAACTTGACGAAAAACAGTGCGAGTGCAAAACATAGATGCATTCCTGTCGATCTCAAATGGTGTCCTCATTGTTGGATGTTTGTCGTTAGTTTTGAAGTCAAATGATGACTGAGTGAATCTTTACTTCTCTATAGCATCTTCAAATGAAATCATGAAATGGACAAGAGTAGAACCATAATATGTGTTCTGGTGAAATGTTGAATTCTCACTTTTAGAATGAGATGTGGTTCGCATTAATCCTGATAAAGGTACATACTTGAAAAATGCAGGCATCCAGAAATGTCTCAATCCATGCATATCAATCAACCATTTCTTATCCGTGAGCTTATATTCATTCAATAACGACTTCCACTCTACCTCAAAGTCATCAACTTCAATCCTATAATTCAATATCAAGAAGTTGAACTTTTTACGAAAATCTGGATTGTTGACAATGTTAAAAGAAACATGTGAATTTGTAAATGTAATATCTGTAATCAACTATAAAACCAATACATTCTAGTTTGAATACACCAAAATAATGATCGTTTTATTGGTAAAGTGTATTACATAGACAATAATAAATACCTTCAATGGCAATTTAGATGTGGTATGCCACATGCAAAGCCTATGAATCGATTGTGGGAAAACAGTTTCGATGGCTTTCTTCATTGCAGGGTCTTGGTCGGATAAAACCAACAATGGTTGTTTGCCAAAATCTTTAAGAAAAGATTTCAACAACCATATATAGGAATCAATCTCTTCTCTGCTCAACAAGCCAGCACCAAAAGTGACACACCTCTTGTGATTATCAATTCCAGTAAAAGGAACAAAAACCATATGGTACCTGTAAAAGTATTTAAATTAATATGTATACTATTAATAAGTAGAAATATAATAAACTACAATCATTTACAACATGTTAGTTCGAAAAGTAGCATCGAAAGAAACTACATCACCAAACTCTTTATAATTTATCTTGGATGTTTCATCTGCCCAAAAAAGAGCATTCAACTGCTTATTCTCAACTCGATACTCAAAAGAAAAATTCTTAACATTCTCTTTTATGTTATTCGGCTTGTCCACTAGCATCTGAGCATCACCAAACTCTTTATAATTTATCTTGGATGTAATTTTTGAAGTCATCAATTAGACCGCCTACAAAATTTCCTCCACCAAGAATACTTGTGTACAACATGTGAGCTATGGTTGCACCAATATTCTGATTAGACATTATAAGAATGAAATTTTTTTGAGTGTCATCCAGCTGCCTATGATGACGTGAAAACAACATATTGTCTCTTGATATAAGTGGATTATTGTGTTTTTCTTCAAATTTATATAACAACCATTTGGTAGTTCCAAGAAAAAATTTAAATCGTATATGTGTCTTGCATCCGGTCCTACTATTGTCAACCCTTTTCTTAATTTTACTTGTTTTTGGGTCCAAAGTATCAACATGAGATGTATTTGGGAAACCTTCCCTGTTACATAAAAGATATTTGATGTACACCATATCACACTTCTTTTTGTTTGTTGGTTTTCTAACATCAAAACCTGTTGCACATGCATATCTTCTGTACATGTCTTCAATTGCATCATCAGATGGGTATTTATGGTTTATTATTGGCTTAAGATCATCAGGAACAGAAGGAATCTAATACGCTTTACCAGCTATTACTAAGTGTTGATCAACACAATCATCTTTTCTCTCATTACATAAATCAATGTCTGTAACATCTAATAACCATGACAAGTTAATAACATAATACAAATAAAAAATTAACAAATCAAATAAAGTTACGTAGATATTATACGATACTGAAATGTCAATTAATGAAATAAGTTTAAATAGATAGTATACGATACTGAAATGTCAATTTTTTGATAGTATTCTAACAATATACAAAATTGTGTAATGTAATTGACACATATTTAACAAACTTAAAAAAAAAAAAAAAAAAACACTAGGAACTTGAATAGATTGATGCATATTTTCAAGAAATGTGAAATTGTGTTGATTGTGGTCATCCATGATGTTGACTTTTTCGAATGCGATATTATCATCATCAGTTGAACAAAATTCATCATCACTTGACAAAAAATCGTCATCGACTGATGCAGTTTGAGCGTAATTGATCTCGTCCTCTTCATTGATCTCGTTTATATCATCAAACTCGTTGCATAATGACAAATCTATTAATGGATTCTTATGGACAACTTTCAGAACAGCTTAACTTCAATATCTGATTCGGTTTGCTTATATTGATGATTGATACACACGATTGATGATTGGAGAATTAATAAATGTTTGTTAGAGATAATATAAAACATTCCTTAATTATAGGAGTTTGATTGATATATTCTTTAAAGCTAATTAAACAATCAAACATTGCCTTTATTAATGTAAAGTGTTATAATTTTTATATTTAATTAATTATATATATTGATTGGTTGAGATTTGTCCTCATGTTCTTACCAGGGCCGGTCCTAGAGGGAGGGCAAGCTGGGCGACTGCCCCGGGCCTCGCCAAATCTCGGGGCCCCTAAAAATTATGGTTAATGTATATATATGTAGTTGTAGATGATATATAATATATTAAGCAGTAAAAACACAAACTTATTTGCAGCTGACATGGTTAAGCCGCAGCGGAATTCGATGTAAGATATGCCTCAATTCGAGTCTTGCAACATCCGAATTTTCCTCAAAAAAGCTTTAATTTTTTCGCTCCACTCCTAAATTTTTTTACCCTCCATTTTTTCTACATCGTATTTTTTTTTTTTTGCACTCCATTTGTTCCCATGTGTCATATGTTTTTTCTGTGTCTCTTACTCATAAGCAAGCGGGAAAAGACCCTCAAAATCTCTTAAATCTCTCGGTTCTACTCCCAACTCCCAAAGTACTTCTCAACAGTTCTCAAGAAGAAGTTTAATCGTCTAATTTCTGATTTCTGAAATGTATTATGGATATGAACCTAAAGGTATATTGTTTTTTTTTTTTTCTCATTTGCTTTCCTTATCGATTTCTATAGATTTAGGTTTTGATTTCTAATTTCTCAGTTTGAATACACCTTTGTTTTCTGATTTCTAAAATAGATTATGGATATCAACCTACAGGTAATGTATTGGAACTATTTTTATATTTGATTTCCTATATATTGTTTTTTGTATTTGTGATATTTTTTTCTTCATTTTG